CTTCTCACACACACACACACACACACACACACACACACACACACACACACACGCGCGCGCGCGCGCGCGCATACAGATACTCCTTCGCTTCTAATTATTTTTATTAGGTTTCAATAAATTAAGTTTATTAATAATCTCACTTTGCCACGCCGTGATATGCGCGTGCGATTCTTACTTTTTATTTTTAAATTTGTTTAAGACTCTTCTCCTCCTTGCCACATCAACTCTTTTCTCTCTCTCTCTCTCTCTCTCTTTCTTGCCTTTCTTTTTTTTCTTCTTTTCTCTTAAAACTCTCGCGAAATTACGATTTACACTTGAAATTGGAATTGACACTCATAAGGTTATTGAAGTAGTAGTCTCTCGTATTTAATAATTGCACCAACATGACATCGACCCACATGCTCACGGACACCAGATTGATCTTTCCTATTTACATGCGTCTCATCTCTCTTCTTTCCCCCCCCTCTTCCTTTTCTTCTTCCCTCTCCTCTTCCTCTTTCGCGTGTATTTTCTATGTCCGGAAGTGGATCGCACGTCCAAAGATCCCTACGTAGATCGACCCGCTGCACAATCTTTGTTCTATCCTATTCTACGTATAAATGCAATGAAATAGCGTATTTAATAATTATTAAATGATGTCCCTCCTTCTCCTTCTCTCTTTCTACTCAATCGTCCGCAGTATATACTCCGGCTAATCGCGATGAACAAATGTAAGTTCGAGAACGCGGAAATTGTGAATGTGTGAACCGCGATTTCTCGTTCTCGTTATGTTTCTCATAGTTTGTCCCTCTTGACACGTTTGTCGGCGCTTTTTAAACTGCCACCATGTCTTGCACGCGGTCAGGAGATTCTCAAGGAAGACGCGTCAGCTTCCGCAATTAGCTACCTAATGAGATGCTCGCACGTAGGGGAAAACGTTTTCGCACGTTCGCGATAAACTCGCGACCTAAGCATCCGACGTTCACCAAACTGCGCGATTCTTAAACGGCGACAGAGCCGACTTCGCGAACGCTGCTCCGGTTCGTCCGATAAAAAAAAAAAAAGAAAGAAAAAAAAACAAGAAAATGCTCTCTTGCGTCTTAGCTGACGGTGGTGGCGTGATGATGAACGTAATCGCGAGTGTGAAAGGGAAGGATTCCGAAGGATGCTGAAACGAGCGAGATCAAAAGCGAGATACAAGTCAGATTAAAGACAACGAGATTAAGACACATCCGAACGGCCGTCCTTGGCCCTTTGGGGATTAAAATTTGTCTCCCGGATAAGACGAGAATGAACGTCAGGATGATCGATCGATCGACAGATAACGAGGAGACGCGATGTTTCCTTAAATCTTTAGGCCAGATTCGTTTTAACGTTTACGTAGTCGGCAATCGTACGCCGACAGACTGCAACGTTACTCTTATAGAATCTCTTTCTTTATCTAACGATAAGAAATTGACGACGATAGGTGTATTTTTTTTTCTTCCTCTCAGTCCCTACTAGGGAGAGGAGATCGTTATAAAGCTAAAGTTACGAGATCTGCGTTATGGATCACTGCGAAAGCGGATACGTCGGATGTACTTCAGATGGACTCGTCTGCGACGATCCGTTAAAAATCGATTAATCCGAAAAATCGATTGATCCGAGAAATAAGGCGAACAAAACTACGCGAAAGATCGACGCATTCTTAAACAAACATAGGAAAGATAGGTACGTTAGCGTACGTTACGTGTTACGCGATACGTTTAATTAGGCGACTCGATAGAGCACAAGGAGACAGCAACGCAAGTTTCAAGCATATATAGGATATACGCAAAGTGTTTACGCGGCCGAATGATGGAAACGTACAGCTTGAAAAGAGAAGGCGTGCTTTCGCATCCGCGCGATTTGTCTTCTTTACCTCGTTCCGGTCGAAAGGGATATCTCTTTTCTTCTTCTTCTTTCTTTTTTTTTTTTTAGTAGTTAACGCGAAGCTTCTCAGCGCGCGGACAAAGCATCCTCCCTTCAACGAAATTCATTAAACAGCTAGATAATAAATATCAGAGAGTGATATACCTATCGACGAATACCATAACTCGTGATAGAGGGATTACGCGATTATTAAATCTCCAGCCATCTTAATTATACAGGATTATAATTAGATAGTAGATCGTAAAATGTTTGTTCTACCTAGACTAACAATTATTATGCTTTCTGTACAATGCAAGGTGTGATCTTAATATCTTCTTAATCATCGTTATTATAATTATTATTATTATTTAATGTTAATTATTACAGCAACGCACGCTTAATGTGCAGTGCACGAATCGTAATCGTTCATCGTTATATCATTTTCCTCTTTTTTTTTTTCTTTCCCCTTTCCGTTTAAACATTAACCCATAATCTTCTGTAGAATGTATGCACCTCAACGTTCGTAATAATTATAATATACTCAACAAAACATTAACATTAACGTCGCCAGCACTCCGTCCGATACATTAATCTGTCAAGGAGCAATATGTAGGCGTTGCCAATAATAATTGTTGTTATCAATATTATTCTTCATTCTCCTCGATCATGACACTTCTCTCTATCTACCTATCTATTTATATATATATATATTATTTTTTTTTAATATGTATATGTATATATATCCGTGTACGTACAATATCTCGCTCATTCTTTCCGCCAATAGGATTATTCTTTAGTTATTTTTTTTTCTCCGTAACACCTATAATTATATTATTGCTGCAGCTTAATGGATTTCTTTGCTTCTTACACACACACACACACACACACACACACACACGCGCGCGCGCGCGCGCGCGCGCGCACGCACGCGCACGCACGCACACGCACACGCACACGCACACGCACACATGCATTCGCACTTTTTCTCATTCACACGCAATGTCTCTTGTTTCCTGCGCTTATCATGCCCTCCGTTACTTCATTCCAAGTTGGGGTTAATCGGTTCGAAGATGATACACTTTTCGCATGGTCGGTTTCGAGAACCCTCGCATAAATTGAAGGAAATTTGAAAAAATTTTGTGCGCAAGAAAATATATATAATTTTAATTATAGTTATTTTTCATGCACATTAATTAACATTCAAAAGAAACGAAAGATGTTTGTGTTATTTAGAGATGCGCGACAGTGGCTTCAAGATCCACATATTAAATTGTTAAAAAAAAAAAAAAATAGCAAATCGCAAATATAATTCAAAGTCGGATCAATCGTTCGTGAGAGAGGAATTTTCAAGGCTAGCGCAAATACAAGGCAGTTACACTTTTGTCAAGCGAAAAGAGTGCTTAAGGAGGCAGCGCGGGGAATTACTTTTGTTGAGGGTCCGCCGAGACATTACAGAAGACGCAAAACAACTATCGTTCAAGGTTCGAGAGTCGCGGTTGACGATCCATAGTCATCATATCCAATACCTAATGGCGTATCGTGCAACACGAAATCGAAGATCACAAATCCGTCGAACCGGTGAAAGAAAAATAAAAATATCGATCAAATTAAACGTCTAAAAGCAAAATCTATTCACTTATCTCGCGTAATATATAATAATGAAAATCTATTCTAATATCTATGACGTGCCTGGGCATCCGTCGTCGCTTCTGCCAGTCACATTCTGAAACGCGACGTCGCGCAATTACGCCCACAATCGCTCCGTCTACACCTCGCTATATCGCGCTAATTACAGCTAAATAGAAATACTGGAAGAATTGATTGTTTCTCTCACTGAACACCTATTGGTCGAAACACCTTCTCGAGTGAACTGTCGTTTAGAGCAAACGAGACACAATGAGTGCGCGGTACGCTTTTACTGATTTAATAACCCGTTATAAAATCACATCGATGCCCTTATCATCGTAAATTAATCGAGTGCTTCGAGAGTCGATTGTGCCAACCAGCCATCGGCTAACTAGTAGCGAGTAACATGAAGTGCTGAAAGGGAATGCTCAATTAAGCTTAGACGAAGCTAGAGCCCCTGATTCTAGCAGTAACTAACTCTAATATACTAACTGTACATTAGTAAATGCCTTGCTGTCTTTTATGCGCGTGAAAAGAGAACTTCGCGAACCATAGTTGGCCAACGTTGGTGCACAATCTACTTAAGTTATGCGCTTCGCGAATTTAACCTCACGATTCGCATTCAACGTGCCGTCTTTTCTGCGAAGAAGAAACATCTAGCCGATTCCTCATGATCGATCCGGATACAGAGAGGTGTAGAGATGTCGAAAATTGTTACTCGGAACTGGCGTGATATGTATAGCCGAGGGTTAAACCGCTGGTTGAGGTAGTAGAAATTTGCGATTATTACTTAGTCGGCGCTAATCCTCGCTTAAGTAATATCCGCTACTTTTGATAAACATTAACCGCTAAATACTCGAACTTTTCGATCTCAAGGAAGAAAGGAGTTTCGGAGGAAATTCTCGTCCGAAAGCTTGGAACAGCTCTCCGCGTAAAATGTACCGTATAGAAATCGCTAGAAATTATCATGAATATCAATGTGAGTTATTACACTGATACCGATTGGCGTTTACTATTTATCTAACAGTGTATCACCGTAACGGAATGTACCAGTGAAAGTTACGATTATCTACCGTGGACAATGCAAATTCGGCGTACAAATTTTTAGTCAGCGGTTTATCTCTCGTGTATAAGCGGACACAAGACTGGATCCAACAGGGTAGGATCGCCTTTTCAGAATGTGACTCCAGAGTGACTCGTCCGAAATTTTCTTTTTCCTTTTCTTTCTTTTTTTTTTCTTGTATTGTACAAATCACAGTCAAAGAAAGTGGCCTTTCGAGCGGCACCTTTCGCGCGTACATCATATCTTTCGCAGCGATAAGCAAGTTGTAGCCGCGAGCCGTTCATCGCCTTCGCGTTACACAGATAAGCGCCATTAGATGTCGGGGGTCGGGTCGCAAACGAGGCGGATACCGCGAAGGTCGCGTTACGCGGATCACCGTTTCCGGCGATGACGCGCAACGTGCATCGATAATCATGTCTCGTGGCATTCGACGGGGGGGATGATGTCGTGTGCGCGGGGGAAAGGCGGGGGGAGGGGGGAGGGAGAGAGAGAAGAGGGGAAACACCGGCAGTGTCCTCGTGTCAATGATCATCCTGTCGACGATAGGACGACGTTGTGTGTCAGAGCGTCGATCGTGGATGTCGACTTGACCGACGATGCGTATCTCTTCGATCGACAGTTCTGATCACATTTTAAAGTCGCGACAGCTTAGCTGGCTCTCGGTTTTCTCGGTTTTCCCGTTCTATTTGCGAGGTCTCCTGTCGCCTGTTATCTTTGCCGCGTGAGAGGAAAATGCAGGGAGGAAGGGAAGGAAAAAAGACCGATGTATAAACAAAAAGTGCTCACAGCTTAAAGCTTCCTCGCGGATGAGCGAGCGGGAGAGGATATTGACTTGGGACTGACTGCCAAAAAGACGGATCTGTCGGAGAAAACGGTCGAATTAATATTTGAATAGAAAAACGAGGGATTAATACTTGTTTCTTTCTCTCTCCTCTTTTCGTACTTTTTTTCAACCAAACGCAACTAGCGCAACTAGCTATCGGAGGAGACTTTCGAGTCGAGGATGACGCAAACGGAGCGACGACGACGACGACGACGAACAACGATGAAGATGGCGATGGCGATGGCGATGGCGATGGCGATGGCGACGTCGACGACGACGGTGACGCTCCTTTATCTCTTTGGTTTTCTTCGTGTCGAGCTGGAGAACGCGTGTGATAGACTGAAGGCTCTAGCGATGATGGGTATTACGACAGAAGCGCGCCGATGATGGCACCTTCAATAATGACAATCTCCTCTCGTCCGAATGGCGATCAGCTTCACGTATCGAAGCGATATGAGTGAATGCTGACGCTGCCGGCGGTTCGGAATTAGGTACACGATGTTGCTGATGTCTTTGGACTTTTCTGAACAGAAAGATCGTCCGAGTGCGTACAGTGGCAGTGCAATTGCCGACTGTTCGTCGGCACATAAAAATCTTATCAATTTAACTAGAATGGAATATAGCTAGAATGGAAATGCCTAGTTTAGTGCTGTTATTTAGTTATAGTAGTAAGCAAATCAATCACGGTGCGAAAAGTGAATTAACGGATAAATAAAAAATTAATTTAAAGTTAAAACTCGACGTCATTGCACGTAGTATTTCGACGTAGCAGCGAATCAAATTACAATTACAGCGATTGTCAAACGTCGTTAAATCAATAAATCCGTCAATAAATCCGTTATTCGTATCGCGCAGTATCTGTTCTTATCACTGTCTGGACCTGATATTCCCAATATCATAAAATGTCAAATGTCGCACAGCATCACGTGTCCGTACGTACCTGGTTTTGGCGTTCACAGTCCGAAGTATCCACCGATGGTGGTGGCGACGACAACGCCCAATACGGCGAGGCAAATCATGATCATGATCTTCTTCTGCACTCGGCATTAACAGAGATCGATAAAAGTTTAATATAATCTACTACAAAGCTGTCTCTCTCTCTCTCTCTTTTCCTCTCTTCTCTCTCTACTCTCTCTCTCTCTCTCTCTCTCTTCTCTCTCTCTCTCTCTCTCTTTCTCTCCCGACTCTTTCCTAAATCTTTCTATGCTCATTTCTCTCTCTTTATCTCCCGCTCAGTCTCTCATATTCAACACCTTATTCGTATGCTCTCGATACCTCTGTCCATTATTATTACCCTATACATTATAATTTGTGTTTACTTATCGATCTATCGTATTGTGGAGCACCTGAAAGAAATTGGGTCTTGCTCGTTGCCGGCATGGGGACGCACCTTTGTAATGGCCTGTGTAAAAAATGATGTATGAGTGTATAACTGTGACATACACAACTGGCAAGAAATTGCAACTGAACAGAAGCTGACTCTTGCAATATCTAAACTTCCGATTTTGAAAACAAAATGGAGTGTCGGGATCAGGATTATGTTACAATTCTAATTAAATCATTTTAACTCGCTATATGTGTTCTTAATTTTAATCATATCTTCAATATATATAAATTTCAAATCTTTTATCTCCCTCATCATCTATAAACTTTTTAACTAATTTCGATTTGTCCCTGATAAAAAATTCAGATTTATACGTTCAAGTATGAGAATTAGAAATATTATATTCCGTATTTAAATACAGATTTCGTGCAAAGTTTTTAATCACTTTAAAATATTTGGCGATTACTTTAGTCGAAAAATTAAACAGCGATAGAAAGTGTGAGAAATCTAGAACGAATCTTATACACGAAGAAAAAAAAAAACATAATCAATCAATAGTGTTAATCATGACGTTCTGTATTTAGAAAGTGAAAATATTTTTCGTGACACATCAATAATTAAAATCTTAAAGTCTTTCTGTTATCTCTAATACAAACAGAATAAAACGGGAATTGTAGGTGAGATCGAAGAGATCAGCATTAATTGGAAAAAACAGGGGATACAGACCTTCGTTAACCGACGCCGTTAACGTCGACTTTCTTCAGAGTTCCGGCCTCCTTCCGTGCAGTTTCAACGATGCGTATCCCTAATTTGCCTCCATTCCATTTGTTTCTCTCCCCCTTTCCTCGTAGCGAGCACTGTACTGCCAAGCCAGCTTATGCCGTGAATCGATCCTCACGAACGATCGGAACGAACGTGCTGCCGTTTGTATAAAACGCGACGCGAATTTTATTATCCTCTATTATCTTCGCGATTCTACTATCATTTCGTATAATCAGCGCTAATTATTGTTACACCTCGCTTTACGTTCGCGTCTGGTTTGTCACCAGCGAACAACTGCCTCTTCTTTCCTCCTTCTGCAAGGCGACAAGTAATAATAGAGAAAAAAAAAAAAAAAAAAAAAAATGGCGTGCCATGTGAACGATGCCGCCGTATTTCCTATCTAACAGTTTCTTCTTCTTCTTTTTTTTTTCTATTTTTTTTTAACGCTAAATACACCCGAAGAGAAGAAAATCCCTACCATCGGCATTAATGATTAATATCTGAGTTACTCTTTCTTCCTCCGTTTCTCGTCGCTGTTGTTATTATTATTATTATTATTATTATTATATTATTATTATCTGCTATACAAATTGCGATTATTTACATGTACAATGCGGGCGCCGCGTCCGTGCGGTGATCTGCATTGCGACGACGGTGATTATTAGAGTTCGGACGATCGATATATCTGATTCATCGGAGCGTGTGTACGTATCGCGAGATACGTCGTCATCGTGCGGATTAACGGTCCCGACCGAGAGCGGAAACTCTCGCGCCAGCCTAGACGACTAGAGGACTAGAGCACGCGGCGGCGAGGAAGGTCCGCGACCGTCTCTGTCGCATTTCGCGCAGGAACGATCGATCAGTTCTGGGACAAATCCCCGAAGCGTCCCCGCGAGCTCCGGCTCACGCTGCCAGTTAAGCCAGGAACGCCTTCTCCTCCTCCGGAGAGAGAGAGAGAGAGAGTATCGCTGACAATGCGAACACCGCATGAATCTGCGACGACAACAAACGAATCACGGCGGTGCCGAGTCGTCGAACACGTTTTATCCTCGGCAGGAACAAAGCTCGATAATGCGAAGTCGAGCATCGTCGAGCATCGTCGCTGCGTTTCGAAGATGTTTCGTTCCTCGAAAATGCGGGTGACTTTCCCAAGTCAAAGGAAATCTCATCGAAATTTCTCAGCAAAAATTTCAACAAAATTGCAATATATCGATAAAAAAAAATATCTACTTTAATAATTTTTGCCTTTGCATTCTAAATCTCTCTCAAACAGTCGTATTGATTTTCTTAATTTTATCAATAAATGGAATGGGAATAAAAATTTTGGACAATGTCAGGTATTGACGTTTCATTTGAGTAATTTTACTCTACTTCAAATATCGCTGACCTGTTCTTCCTCAGCGTGACGACGAATGTGATAGTCGAGATCGATTATCAATATTTGTTGATGAGACAAATGTAGAAAGGGAAATGGAATGAAAAGCCGTGAATAGTTCAGTTTGCTGTCGCTGCATTTCGTTTTCGGATATCGATAATTTTTCGTCAAGTCGCGCTTTGAAGACGACTTGAGAAAGGACGCGTGTGTTTCATCTCCCATATCTCGCGCGTGCTTCTCGATTGTGCAATCGCCATCTTTACTGTTCGTTCGCTCGAACTTGAACTAGGAACGGTGAAGTGTGACAAAAATAATACGGGAAACAGATAACAAAAGGCAGTGCAAAGGTGCGCCCGAATGCGAGGAAAAGCTGACGGTGGTGGCACATCGATCCATTCATCTTAAAGAAAACACCGATCTCGATAATCTTTCTCGGCGTTTCTCACCTCCACTTTTACGATTTAGTACAAACTCGCAGTATACCAATATAATAGTATATTTTAAACAAACATGATACTTAATTCGTGCGAGTACCACAACTTCTTTTTGAAAGTTTCAAAAATTTAATTTAATATCGTTTGGCGTTTATATACGAATTGTCACAACACTGTGATTTCTTCTCAATGAGAAAAATAATTTCCTCAAAGGAATTTAATAAAAATTAATATTACGACTTTGCGCGTTTTCGTATCGGGAAAGGCAATAAAGGAACTGACTTATCTAAGTCTTCGCTAATAAAGTAATTGTCTCTCTTTGATCTTTGTGTAACTCACAACGCTCGTCTTATCACCGTTCCTAGCTTCTACCGATGTTACAATGTATCACAAAATGTATGTTGTACACAAGGTGTTTCCCGTGGAAGTCACAGATGAATTCCGATTACCGTCACATTCATCAATACATAATCTAAACGACGCGAGCGTGAGACTGCGGTAAATCAATAATTCGTTACAAATGACAATAAATAAACGTATAAACACATAAAATTTATTAAGGATCAATAATAAATAAACGTAACGATCTTGCGGGATATCGGCGATATCTCGAGAATCAGAAACGGCGATGGCAATCGCACTATCCGAACTCTCCGACGGAAAGTTCGAGATCGACGTAATCGACGGCTGATCTCCGCGACGATCTTGGCTCATCGTCAACGGATGAGACAAGAACAAAGTATAACGGACATTTCAACGATCGAAAATACTTGTCCCATTCCGATTTGTTCTATCTTTTTGTTTCCATTAAATTTGAATTCTTAACTTTTTTTTTTCCTCGTCAATGTCGCGCGCATGCTTAAACTATTTTAAGCTAACTGCCAGAATGATAATTAGGATGATGACCGCTATCGTCACACAGATCGCTATCAGGAACAATTTCTGTAAAATAAAATAATTTCGTGACCGTCTGGAAAAAGAAAATAAAAAGAAAAGCAGAGAAAAGAGTCGAAATGATGACGTTGCGATTGAACGAGAATCGCGATGGTTCCGGACAAGCGTTCGAAATGAAATGACAGTTCCGACTTCGAGTGCTCAATTATATTATTATTAAATACACTTGAAAATATCCGTAAACGTTTATTATACTCGCGTTCATCCAGCAACTTGTCTTCTAACTGTTAACGATATACTCCGATTTTCTTGCATTTTATTGCTTTAATTCAATAATTAACAGATATTATAATTGGATTACATTCCATATTTGTCTTCACATTTCTTAATTCGTTAAGTAATCTAGATCATTTTTCCAGGATTATAATTCCAGTTTTAGTTTTTTCTCAATTCTGTTTACTATATATTATGAACAAAATATTTGAACAAATTGTCGACTTATGAATTTAAATTAAAGCATTCATTCAACATTTTTAAATAAAATCAAATGCAGCAAACTTGGAGAATATACTTGATATATTCGTAATTTTGATATATATATATATATATATATATATATATATATACCACACGTATATAAATATATAAATGAAAAAAAACCTAGACTAAAGTTTTACTAAATACATTACCCTTCGCCAATTACATACAGCTCGAAGTACGGAACGAAAATTTCGCTACTTCGTGTCAAATAAATGGCAAATGACGAATGCAAATCGTGAAACAATAAATTTCCGCGAATGATCTCGAGTTTCCTCCAGAAATTGAGGCGTTTCCACGTCTTTACAGTTTTTTTTTTTTTTACAGTCAATCGCGAGCACAATTATCGACTACTCGCGCGAGTAAAACTGACAAGACGGGAAATCAGAGATCCGAAATTAAGATTGTCGCATCCCGACGAGATAGCAATTATCATCTCAAGATATCCACGATCCGGAGGAACGTCGAGCAATGTAATGAAGTGTACTTACTCGAAACGAGCAGATTCGATGAGTGCGGATTATTACGTTAATTAGTTGTTCGTTACAGAGATTAGTCGGAGGATTATCGTCGTAAGATTACGGATAGATGTGTGTTATTAGGATAACGGCACGGGACACCCGTTTTATTATTTGCATTTTCCATTTCTTTTTTCCTTTACGGTAGTTTAGTGCACATGCGACTTTAGGGATACGTTCACAGCTCTTATAGGCAACCACCGCCACCATAATTGTTTCAGCGTCCATCTCCCCCCACCCCCTCACCGGGACTTCTGATCACACTGCACATCCGGATCTCATGCGTTTTCCACCGAATTGATCGCGACTAAGTTTTCTTGCATTATTATTGTTATCTTACTATTATTATATTATTACTACTATTAACGTTATTATTATGACATATCCGCTGCCGCGTTATACTCGTTTATTTTTCCTTTCTCTCTCCGCCTTCTCCTTCGAAATTTTTAAGCGCCCCTTGTTCGCCCCCTTCCCTCATAATCTTCCTTCTCCCGCAAAAAGAAAAACACCCCCTTGGCCGTTTAGGTTCTCGGAAGGAACCCTACTATTATGGCGACCAATACGACCGCCGATATTAGGACGCAGATTATGATGAAGATCATTTTCTGTGGACAGAAAAGCAGAGAAGGCCACGTATAAGATACGCGTGTACGTGCTTTTCATTGACAAAGAATCGAAAAAAGAAAAAGAGAGAAAAAAATGACGAAGATGTATCGAAATAGTGTTGCGCGGCGTGCTTTGTGAGAAAATTGTAAGAAAGTCAAGACGTAAATACGTACCTTCGAGAAATCAGAAAAGTAAAAAGGAGAATGAGAAAAATATTTTTGGCGTCGGCGAAAAAAGGTGAAATAAGAGAGAGAAAAAAAATCTTGCGATTGTACGAGTGCAGTGGATCGGAAATCAAAACTCGAAACTCGTGGAAAAAGAAGCGAATGGGAAAAGGCGTGTGAAAAATATGTGATTTACGTGTTCATTCATGCTGATTTGCGTTATGATATATAAGTGATGCACCTTGATCGGCAAATCATGATCAAAAAGTAGAAAAATGTTATTTCCCTGAACGTGCCTGTAATTTCTATATATTTGTATATATTTGTATTTTTATGTATTTGTATTTCTATGTTTCGAAATATACTTTATTGAATATTGTAAGATCAGTTATGTGTATATATATATGTGTGTGTGTGTGTGTGTGTGTGTGTGTGTGTGTGTGTGTGTGTGTGTGTGCGTGTG